CATGATTGTGTGGCAGCTAAGCATCAGTAGAATTATCGATGTACTGCTGTCTATGATGATGATGATGAAATCTATATAACCTCCAACTAATGATCAAATTTTTTTTAGAAAAACTTTATATTTTATCTGCAATTTAAATATTGTATTAGCTCTGTATGGGTTTGGTCGATCTGACTGACCTTGTAACAAATTAGGAAATATATATAAATTATATTTTTTTGTTCTAGAACGACTGCAAATTATAATAAGAAACCACAAATGTTTAGTCTAAATAGCTTAAACCTTTAACATTATACATCCATATATATATATATATATTTCTTTTTTCTTCTACTACCTTGATCTTTCAGCTGTGTCTAACTCATATTACAGAAGTAGCAATGATGCAGTGTTACCAGTTATACTAGTGTTACCATATCTAACAGTATTGGCCTTTATAAAGTGACCCATCTTTGGTTTTTCTAATAAACCAGTATTTTGTAACATACAGTTACATGTTGGTTATAATACATTACGTATGCATATATGTTATTATTATCATTTACAAACAGAACAGTAAATGAAGAAATATAGAAAACAATTTTTTCTACTTACTAACTTTGTACTCATTTGCCTGCTTGCCGTAACTTGCTAAGCCTTGTCAAATTTCACACATGGAGGATGTAAAATGAAATAATTTTTTAGGTTTTATATGTTCATTTTGAAATAACCAAATATTATATACTTGATTCACTATACATAGTGATATCTCAGCAAATAGAAAAGATAGTAGGTTCATATTTTATGTTCTAGCTTGTCAATATTGCTAATTTGGGTTTATAATTCATAAGAAACTATAGACTTTGTACTTGGACATCACAAACATAATTTGAACCAAAACTGTATTCAATGTACCACGTGACACACAAAAATTGATATTTAAGAATTTTATTTTAATATTCACTTTTTAAATTAAGAACTTAACTAATGTATAATACTGAAATTTGAATTACAATCTACAATGTGACACCAAACTTATTGACATACATTCATAAAATAGTAGATAAAATTCTGAATGTAAGTCTACATACATGATGACATGCTATTTGACCTCTGACCAAAGGAAGAACCGTAGTGAGAGGGTTAACCTATTCCCAACTTATAACATAATATTTTGGGATAACATGGGACCTATTGGTCCATTTCGGCTGTTCCATCCTCTAAACTAAATTAAAATAATTTTAAAAAAATATCTTAAAGCCAGTCCTTATCATTCCTATACTTTTTCTTAAACTCACTTATATTTACTGCCTCTACAACATCTAAAGGCAACCCATTCCAATGGCCAACCACCCTATTAGAAAAATGAAACTGTCTTGGCTGTAGATGACTCCTACCTTGCCAAAATGTCTTATTTGTGTCCACTAGTCCTACTATTCTCACTGTTAAATATGGGAAAAAGATGATACATCAATACTATCAATTCCCTTTACAATCTTAATCACCTCAATCAGACCCCCCCCCCCCCAATTCTTTTTTCAAGAGAAAACAAGTTGAGAGATTTCAGCCTCTCCTCGTATGACAACCCTTCAATTCCAGGCACCATTATTGTAACCCCCCTCTGAACCCTTTCCAACAATTCAATGTCTTTTCTTAAGGTAAGAAGCTCAAGACTGAACAGTGGTAAATCATTAAAAAAAAAAATAATTCAGATAACCCAATTATTTAAGTCTTGGGGCATCTGAAGCTTCCAATCATGTCTATGTGACAAAGGTACAATGTCAGAAACTGTAATTGTAAAGATGAACTCACTTCTAATTCAAAATAGACACCTGCTAAATATGTGTACAATTTACTGAAATAGTTTGTTACGACATAAAAACTCTTAACTTCTATGTACATCATTCCAATCTACTACAAATAAAATGTAATATATCATATATGACAAGAAAACCTTCACGTTAATTAATAAATTGGATATCATTTGGAAAAATAAAAATTTAAAAAACGTTGTAGATATTGAAAAGTATTATACTTATATTTGTAGCAATTATACTTATACTAGATACACTATATAATACAAAACAATGGGTAAAGAAACTAAATCTATTAATTCCAGACATACGACACTAAGAAACCCAAACAAACCAGGACCAGACCGAAATACATGGCTGAAAATGTAGGAAAATCTATGCACCCAAGACTACTGGAACTTAAAGTAATAGCGTAAGCCACACTAAGCCTAAGTAAGGCTTACTTAAATTAGGGTTACGTAAGCTTATAAATTAAACTTAAGCCTCATTCATTATGTAAAATACTTTACGCTATTACAAATGCAATACTTTCAATAACGCAAAGAAAGTCCATTAAAAATATAGAAATTTAAAAATAATCATATTAACTAAGAGCAAACAAAATACTTACTTAATTTCGCCATTATTTATATCTTTTTCCATTTTCTTTACGCGAACTTCGGTCGCCATCTTTTTCAGTTAACACAAAAAGTTCTAATGCTAGGTGCCGTCGTAATCTGATAATTTCTTTTTCAAAGCATGAGTACTTTAATTTATGATTATTTTTTAAATTTAAAAACGTGTTCAAAGATTTAAAAATATCACATAAAAACGTAACTGTAGCCTTTCACATGACTCTAGTGAGACCCATTTAAAATAACATATGCGTTTTTGTTTCACTTATTATAGTAACGATATTAAAGGTAGTGATTAGGTAAGTTTTTATTTTCTTTTTTCATTGTGTTAATAAGTCGAACGTAGCTACGTTAGATAGGACTATTTTATGTCTTATGGCTGAGTATACTTGTTCATTAAATTTAATTACTTTTTAAGGACCTAGATGCCCGAGAAAAATTATAGTATTTTCTTTATCTACTTGTTGTTTGTTAATGTCTGACTATAGTACTGAAATGCGATTTGAGAAATTATGACTAATGTTACTTTTTATTTTGTGTAAAGTGACTGTCACATACTCCTTTATGTTTTTAAATTTATTTCATAATAATATATCAAATGGCTGAGTCTTTCAATCTGTTCATCAATGCTGTTGTATTGGTAAAAGTCATGTCTATCCACTGGTAGCATACACTCTTCCATTATGTTTGGACAACAGTGCATGGATAGTTGCTTTTTGCAACAGCACAATGTCCAAAATCAAGACATTTTACAAAAGGGCAGGCTTTCACGAGCTGGTAAGAAGACACCATAAAGTAAACTTCTAATTTTGTAGAATTGGTGTTCAAAATTTAAATACCGCTTTATCAGGTTTTTGTGTATGGGTTGGCCGGATTCTTTACAGTAAGTGTCTCTGACTTGTTGGCGATAAATTTTAGCAATAACAAAGAGTACACGGTCAACATATTTTAAACTAATATATTACAACAAATCAAACATGTGTATAAATTTTTTCATTGCGATTGTAGTTCTGCAGGTACATCACCCACCTCATGATCCCCACGCTGTCGATTTTTGCACCTCTGGGTGTATGCAAGGGGTTGATGGTCTGTCCGGATGAATAATTCCTTGTTGTAGAGGTAGTTCTGGAATTTCTTCTCACCACACACAACTTTTTACTGACGTACAATACGGGACAGAGTCCATTTACATGTCCTTGCAGAAATATTGATCCAATGCCAATGTCTCATGCACTGGTTTGAACAATGAACAATTTGTTGAAGTATGGCATTCTAAGGATTGGAAACTTATTAACATGTTATTCACCTTCTGGAATGCCATCTGTTGTGTTTGTTCCCACTTCACATTGTCGTGTTATCCTTTCATAGTTAGATCAGTGGTGCAATAACTTCAGCATAGTTTGGGATGAACTTCCTATGGTATCATGCAAACTCCAGGAAGGACCTGACTTGCTGCTTGGTCATTAGAGCTGGTGCATCTTGTATGTGGGTTATCTTCTCCTTTTCCATGTCTATCTGTCTGTCGCCCACCTTGTGTCCTACAAAGTCAAGCACAGAATAATCAATGTAGCACTTAGATGGTCAGACCTTTGCCCCAACTTACCCAAACAGATCTTTGAGTTAGGTCAGGTGGTCTTCTCATCTGGCTGTGTGAGTCAGAAGATTTTCCACATAATGCTCGATGTTGGTGGTTTTGTGCAACATTTTTCTCATCATGTGATTGAATCTCACTGCTAAGATGATTAACCCAAATGTCATCCTCTTGAATTAAACTGGTAGCATTTGTATGGTGTCACAAGAGCTATCTTCTTTATATAATCTGTCTCCATTGGGATCTGCCAATAGCCTTTACTGAGGTTGATCTTGGAAGAGAACTTGGTCTCGTCTAGTTTCACCATGATAACATCTAGTTTGCCCATAGGTTTGGAGTCGAACTTCGTCACGAGGTTCAGCTGCCAGATATTTATACAGAAGTGGTTTAAGCTATTCATCCTCTTTATGATTACCACTGGTGAAAAGTAGGCTGAATTCTAAATTTCAATGGTTTAGGCTTCTAGCATTACCTTAAATTCTTGCATGATCAGGTCTCTCATTGCATAGGGCATCTGGTATGGCTTCACCTTTACTGGATCCCTGGTTTTGGTCTTGATCTTGTGTTGTGCAAGGTCTGTCTTGCCTGGTCTATCTGTGATGACATCTGTGTACTGGCACAGCAGATCTTGTAGCTCTTTCTTCTGCTTGGCAGTCAGTTCTTCACTGATGTTGATGTTTTTATGTGTCTAATGTCCACCCAGCATTTTCTATGACAAATTCATTGTCTTCTGGTTCTGTATCTAAGACAATCACATATGCGTCGTCCATCTGTGCTTTAACTGCTGCACTCATTAGGTCTCGTTCCCACTCGAAGAACCTCTTCAACAGATTGGTGTGGTAAATCTTGGTCGTCCACTATATAGTCCATTCTGTTGACCACTTCGTGTACTTCAAAAGGTCCATTCCATGGCAGGGTGAGTTTGTTCTTGTATGTGGTAGCAGAACAAAGACCTACCATCCAGCCTTGAAATTTCGATCCTTGGCATTCTTGTCATAGAAGTGCTTCTGCCTGCCTTGGGATGCATACAAGCGTTCTCGAGCGAGTTCATAGGTCTCCTTAAGTCAGTTTCTGAGGTATAACATGTATTGGTATGTGTTCCACACTTCTGACTCCTGTTCTCTTGTCCACAGTTCTTTCAACATTTGCATGGACCTCATACTGTTCTTCCATAGAGTAACTCGAAGGATGTAAATTCTTTACTCACTTGTGGGACTTCTCGGTAAGCAAATAATACTGCTCGCAGGTACCTGTCCCAGTCACGTGGTCTCTCCTATCATATTTTCTTCAGCATGCACTTTAATACTTTATTGATTATCTCACAAAATCCATTACATTTGGGGTTGTACAGGGTGGTAAAGAGCTGTCTAGTGCTGTCCAGTCTGCACACCTCTTGTATTAATTCTGAGGAAAACCTGGTCCCTCTATCACTCAAGACTTCTTTTGGAAAGCCTACTCTGCAGAACACTTTCAGGAGAGCTTCTGCTACTCTCTCCATCTCTATTTTAGGCAGTGTTTCTGGTTAACGTGTCACATAGTCTATTACTGTCAGCTCATACCATTTGTACTTGTTAGATACAGGTGCTAATGGTTTGATCAAGTCCACAGCTACTCTGCTGAATGGTTTGTTTGGAATTTCGCGCAAAGCTACACTATGGCTATTTGCGCTAGCCATCCCTAATTTAGAAGTGAAAGACTAGAGGGAAGGCAGCTAGTACTTACCACCCACCACCAACTCTTGGGCTACTATTTTATCAACAAATAGTGTGATTGACTGTCTCATTATAATACCCCACAGTTGAAAGGGTAAAATGTTTGGTGGGATGGAGATTCGAACCCGCAACCCTCAGCACCCTGACCACCTGGCCATGCTGGGCCTCTGCTGATTGGCTCTTCTATGAGAGGCATTTCACCCAGGGGCACCTTGGCTACCTTCCCTCTAGGTACTGTGCTTTGGCAGATCTCTCACGATCTGCAGAAGCTGGTCACATGTCTCTGATGACTCCTGGCCAACGAAAGTTGCTGATGATTCTGGCTGTCACCTTCTTCACTCCTAGGTGTTCTCACACAATCGACTTGTGAGCCATTTTCATAACTTGAGTCCGGTATTCTGTTGGTACTATGATCTGTTTAACTTTCCCACTTAGAACTGTCTTGATAGATTTGGTACAGCACTCCCTTCTGGTCTTCTATTTTGTATGTCCCTGTCACCTTTGTTTTGTGCTCGACTCTCTCCCGGACACTGTTCCAAAGTTTCTGCAGTAAATGGTCTTTCTTCTGTGTTTCCTTAAGTTCCCATTGATCTACATTCAGGGAGTCACTTTTCGAGACTTGCAAGGGCTTGATGACTTGCCTGCTCTTCTTCCATTGAGCTCTTGTAGTGACTGCAAATGACTCATCGGTCTTCTTTCTTTTACTATCTGGTATATTTCGATCACCATGTCCCAGATGAGTACCTTAACACACATGACTTCAAGGTCTCTCATGTAATCTGGAGTGCCTAGATTTATTCTTGCTATGGGAAACTTTCTGACTCTCCCATCAATCAGCACACACAGATCTACTTTGCCCATCATCTGGTCATCATATGCTAGACTGGTTCTCTTTACTGCAGCCAGTGTTTTGTAGGACTTTCACTTTCTTGTTCCCGACATAGCCTTAACCTACTGATATGTTGTAGTTTGTTAGCACCTCTTGATGTTTGTTACATGCTCCAATCACTACTTGCATTGTTGACTCATTTGCTAACTTGAGCCGACTATTAGTCTTGCACTTATTGATCATACACTGTTTAATCATGGTGATAGCACTTCCTTCTTGTTGTTGCGTCATCGAGGTCACGTGACTGGTGTGGCGCCCTCTATTTTCTAGAACTATCTTGTTTTTTCACGAATGCTCTAGTATTTACTAGATAGGGTAGGCGGGAATATATAAGAGGGAACAACGTGACGCGAGAATAAGGTAATGCGTGTGAGTGGACAGTGAGTGATTGAACTGCAGTCAGAAGTATTATTGACGTTCGTTGTTATAGCGTTTGTTTAGCGCGATTGTTGAAGTTGAGTGTATTG